TGGGTATTTGAGAACAGGGTACTGAGGAGAAACAGAAGTTTCGAGGAAAATTCAAAATTGGAAGATTCATAACTGGTATTCGCTACACATCGTTACGGTAAACGAAATAAGCAGGAGGAGATGGGTGAGGCATGGGAGAGAATTTGGGCGGGTATATGTGGAGGGAAGAGATCACATGGAAGACCAGGGCATAGATGGGTGAAAATGTCAACATGTATTATAAAGAAGAAAGATTGGAGGGTGTGAACTGTGTTCATCTGGCTCAGGATAGCGTCCAGTGGCAGTTCTAATGATCATATTAATGAACGCTTGGATTCTGCTGGAAGTTCCTTGATTAATTCGTGAAGAAGGGCCCTGCTCCCTGCAGGTTATTTAATGACGCTTTCAGTAACAAAATGATGGCATGATTGGTGAATGATGTATTGGAAAACTCCGCTCGCATTACTTATTTAACAGCTTATTTATTTTATTTCTAGTGGGTGGGACTAAGTCCCTTGTACTGCGGCCACTTCTGGCCTATTGTACCAGCCCCAGATGAGAGGTGAGGGTGATTGTGCAGCAATTGGTGGAATGAAGATTGGCAGGGGAAACCGAATTACTCGGAGAAAACCTGCCCCAGCCTCACTTTGTCTACCACAAACCCCACTTTACTAGACCCTGGATCGAACCCGGGCCGTCGCGGTGGGAAGCCAGCGACTAACCGCTTGAGCTATGGCGCGGCCTTAGTTAACAGCTTAACGTAAAGTATTAATATAGTGAAAAGGGAACCTTAATACTTGTAACCTGCAATAGGTGAATTTCTACTGTCATGTGCGCATGTCATTGCCGCAGGGCATAAGCGTCTTCTTGTCCGGTAATTGTTAAGTTGTGTGGTAACATTTGCGGTCGAGAGATCGGCTCCGTACTTTTAAAAAAAAATAGAACAAAACACTTTAAAATTTAAGTATGAAACTTGTTCGTGATGTCACGATCTAGACAGGCATTTGACTGTTGCTAGTGGAAATAAAAAGAATAATACGCTTGATGTAATAGAAATATCACAGGAGCAAGTGCTGCATTATAAATAATACAATATCAATGTGTTCTGATAATTTACTTCAATTTATTGACCACACCAAACAAATGGGTGAAATTATTTTTTTTTAATATATAAAAATTAACTTAATACGTTTCCAACTTGAGGTTTAGTTCTTGAGGCTCATGCTGTATGCATATGGTCAGATATCCTTATTGAAACATTTTTTCGACTGCAGCAAATTAAGCAGAACTGAGAGGAAGTGACTGCATTTCTTGCAAGCCGCAAATGGAAGGATGGTGCAAGCCCTTAAGGCTTCGTGCTCCCTAAGCGAATACAACCCGACTTACCAAGACGCAGCAAGGCAGACACACTTATTTTGCTTACAGCTTTTACTATATGCCTTTGAGCCTAACTGAATTTACAATTAAAAATTCGCTTAGTGGGGGATGGAGTCCAACTGGGTCCACATGGCACGGAGGCCACTGATTGGCCTATTGTACCTGCCACGGATGATTATGATGATGGAGAATTTGGTGGAATGAAGATTGACAGGGGAAACCGAAGTACTTGGAGAAATCCCGCCCCAGAGTCAGTTTGTCCACCACAAATCCCACTTGATGAGACACGGATAGAAACCGGGCCGCTGCGGTGGGAAGCCAGCGACTAACCGCTTGAGCTATGGCGCGGCATCATAATATAATTAAATTATATTATTAAAAAATATGTATGGTATATTTTAAAGAGTTCTGATGATGGTGTATAATACTCGGGAGTGTTTGGGTCCTTGGACTTTATCCATCGTCCAATATTCTATAAGAACACTAAAGAACATAATATTTTTGGAAAGTGTATCTGGACCTGAAAAGGGAAACATATCTAGCTTCCGAAACTTTGTGTTCTTTAGTGTTTTTTAGAATACTGGACATTGGACAAAGTCCAAAATATCTGTAATTTCTAGAATTATATACCTCGTTTTGATTTCATTTATAAATAAATACGGATAAATTCTATCTAATATCGGGTCGAAGGTTGACTGCAGTTGGCTGCTACTTACTCATGAAGTTGACTACAAAATTTGACTCTTGGTGAGTATAGGATTTAGGGTTCTGTCAGCGGTGATTAGGAAGAATTTTGTCTTCTTGGATGTAGCTCGGTTGAACTTCAGGCCAAGTTGCGGAGAAACACGTCTCCAGCGTTAGGGTCGAAGTTTGAACAAAGCAGAACAGACAAAAATCCCATTTACTCTGCTTGTTACCTGCTTCAAGCTGGTCTTTCTTTAACCTTGAAGATGGAGGAGACGTGTTCCTCTGAAACGTCGGTTTTAATTTGACAGCCTACATGATTATATCCCAAAAGACTGAAGTTTTTATTTTAGTACTTTTTCGGTGCTTTCCAAAATTTTTCAATTAATTAATACATTTTTTATCATTATAATTATCACTTATTTCATTCGTTGTATAATCAGGCAATAGAAATTATCATGAATTCAGATCTAACAGTGATTCATGAGAGTAGCTCAGCGGTACGTTTACCAGACTCCGTCCTCGACGACCTACAGCGGATTTCCTGATTCTTAAAAGAGACAAGGTAATTTCTCTTCTCTGTAGTGTCCATGTCCACTGCGAAGCCACCCTGACTTCTGCCCATGTGGCGTTTTTTTTCTTAGGGTAGAACAGGACGGACGTAAAGCTGACCATTCACCTCCATTTAGTTCCGAAGCTAAGAATAGGTGGCACTACATGTATATACCTCCACGCCCATATATTAATTCATGATGTAGTACTTAATTAAGCACAGAGACAATTGAACTTGTCGTTCATGTACACATCTCTCTGTCTGCATGAGTCAAGGGTGATTCCGCAACGTCTAACTCATTCAGCTTCGTAGTGGACTCGACCTAAGTTTGCGGGAACACAACCAATTCGAGGCTAGCCGCGTTGAGTCGACCAAAGGCTGACGCTGATCATTCTGAGCCCTTATTTATTTTGATGATTATAGATGACCATGAAATTTATTTCTAATTAATTCTCGATAATTTTAATTTCAAAAGTCTTATGTTTCGATATTACTGGAAATGCATCGTGATCTATAATATCGTATTTCACTGTCTTGGACGTGCAATGCAGTGTTTATGTTGAAAATTCTAGATTCTGGCAGAAACAAGAAGTCCGGAGTTATTACATTTACGATCAGTCATAAATTTAGCTCGGGTACAGGGAACCGGACGCGCCTAAAAGGACAGGTCAGAGCTTGTTACAGTTGCCTGTGAATGAGGGCCAGTATGATTGGGTTGCCTCGTTCAAGCTTCCCACGGAAGATGGGATGAAATGTATAGGGAAACACCATCTTTCGAATTCCCGGCGTGGGGGTGCAAGCCATTCCACAAAAAGGAGACTTTCACAATATTCCGAACTGAACGGACGTGACCCTTGCACGCTCCGGGACATAGCTTGCCGATAGTAACGCGGTAACGTAAAGCTAAGAATACATTAATTTAACAGTGTGGTGAATTAGCAGGTGAATAAACGTCAATTGGCTCAACTCTTAGAAAAACGCTTTCTGCGGCATCGCTACCCTGAGACCCATGCAAACCGACCCAGCTAGTTTCCCGTACCTATACCGATCTTCCTTAGTTTGATCTGTGAGAACAACTTGCAGTGGCCATCGTACACTGTCCTAAGGTAGAAACAGGTGTAGCAGGGATAGCACCATTCCGACTGCGCCGATACAAGCAAAGGCGGGTTGAAAAAGAGCGGTGTTAAGGCTGACCTTTTCTGCTTCCTCTCGCTCCAACTGTGGAGCATAGGGTTGATTTCTCAATTTCAGTGATCATTTTACAGACGGTAGGATTCCTTGGACGGGTGATCAGCTCCTCGCAAGGCCTCTACACAAACACAGAATAAACGCATACACACACACACACACACCAAACATCCATACCTTTTGTGGGATTCAAACCCACGATCCCGGCTTCAGAGCAAGCGAAGACAGTACATGCCTTAGACCGCTGAGCTACCGTGACCGGCATGCCTGCCTAAGGTAAAGGAAAATTTGTCCCAGTACATAAATAATTAAGCACCATGCCAGGGAGACGTATCATATATTTTTAACCTCGGCCCCGACCGATTTACCCGCCGATGAAGCCATCCTGTGCGTTTCTTACATAGGCGGGGTAAGATCCAGGCTCTATCTGGACGGACTAGAGAAGAGGGAAGAGATTCGAACCCCCATCCCTCGGCCGGCAAGCCTGGCGTCTTCCAAAGACAAGCTGCTTGTTTTGCATAGGTTTCCTGCATGCATCTGTCGCGCTGTATTGCTAGGCTATTGGGTCTCCCAGGCTCAACACACAACATTATATTCGGTGGGCTTCTCCAAGCAAATTGGATCTACTCAGTGGAAAGCTCACTGGTCAATATATACATCTTGTTTTTTAATGTTTATGGTATGCATTCTGTTGTGTATAATTCACTAAAAGAATGAGGCAGCCTACACAACATTAAGTTCAGAATATAAACAAGATAGACACTACCGCGTCAACATCTGCTTTATTTTGCTAATAATGACTTCGCTACATGTTTCGACCGTTACCTGCAATATTATCCACAGTCTCTTGAGGTCAAATTGTGATTTAGATAAGTAATTAACTTGTTCATCTTGAAGGGTTTTCTTGAAAAGTTAATGGGTGCTCAAAATGTCAGGAATGTCCCACATCTGTAGCTCTCCGGGCCTCATTACCGTGTTTATATGAGCCATTTGAATGCAACCGTCACACTTCAGCTTAGTCTAATTTCAGTCACAATTATGTTCAAATTTTTGTATAGGTTTTGTAGTGCCCTTACCACCAACTTAAGCATTTTAATGAGCTCAAATGAATTACTTTACAATTTGTGTGTATATTTCTTATAATGCCGTTAAGACATACAGACCGAGTATTTGGCATTGTGTTTTTGTGTTTAGACTAAGCCTGTGTTTTCGTTTTCAGTTCCGCTGACCTCGGAATGCAAGAAATCCAGGCCTTCGGTGTCCAGGAGCGCGTGGTAAGCCATAAATTGCTGATAATTTCTTAGAGCCAAGTGTTTTCGGTCTGCTGTTGGCGACCCGCTTGTTTAAGGTGAAATAAGCCGATCACAGTAGCCACACGGTCTGAAGCATGAACCGTCTTCACCCACTCGAACTCTGGGGTCGTAGGTTCGAATCCCACTCGAGGCATGGATGTCTGTACGCGTTTATTCTGTGTTCGTGTTATTCTCTGTGTAGTAGCAGCAGCCTTTCGATGGACTGATCCCCCTCCAAGGAGTCCTACCGACTATGTATAGGATTAAGAAACTGAAAAAAGTGGCCAAGGTCCACAAGGGCTGTAGATAGATAGATAGATAGATAGATAGACAGACAGATAGATATATGGAAAGATAGATACAGAGACAGACAGACAGACAGATAGATAGATAAGTAGAAAGATAGATAAACAGATAGATAGATACGAGTATATAGATAGATAGATAGACATAGATAGATAGATAGATAGACAGACAGATAGATATATGGAAAGATAGATACAGAGACAGACAGACAGACAGATAGATAGATAAGTAGAAAGATAGATAGACAGATAGATACGAGTATATAGATAGATAGATAGATAGATAGATAGATAGATAGATAGATAGATAGATAGATAGATAGATAGATAGATAGATAGATAGATAGATAGATAGATAGATAGATAGACAGACAGATATATAGAAAGATAGATACAGAGACAGACAGACAGACAGAGAGAGAGATAGATAGATAGATAGATAGATAGACAGACAGATAGATATATAGAAAGATAGACACAGAAACAGACAGACAGACAGACAGACAGATAGATAAGTAGAAAGATAGATAAAT